ATAAATACTTATTTATAAATACTTATCTCTAAATACTTCTTTATATTTAAATATCTAATACCTTTCAGATAGTTTGTGAAATAATTTATTAACATAAATCAATTTCATTAAAATTATAAATTTAAATACTTATTTATAAATACTTATCACTAAATATTTATTTACAATTAATTACCTAATACTTTTCAAAATATTTTTTTTATTCGCATTAATTTAGTCTATAAGTATAAAGATGATTTATCAATAATTACTTTTGTTTTATTAATCTTTAAATTTCATATAATTTTACAAACTATAACAAATTTATAAATCTTTTTTGCCTCTAATTATAATCTTATCTATTTTATTTACTTATATTTATCATTAAATATAATAAAATTTAAACCCTAAGTATATTGTATAAGTAATATAAAGCAAGCTAGTATTTATATTAAAATTAAATATTTATATTTATATTCATGCCCATGTTTGAGTTTTTATACCCGTGCCCATACCTATGTCTAAATTTTTATACCTATATCTATGCCTAGATTTTTTATTAAGTATAGGCATAAGCCTAGGTTGCAGATCTCTATTATAAATAGTATCATTCTGATATTTAATTGTACTGATTTATATTTTCCATACTAACATTATTAACTAATAATAAAAAAAAAAAAAAAAAAAAATCATATTATACCAATACCAATCAGGGTATTGGAAGTGTAACAGAGCATTTGGAAGAGTATAATATTACATGAATAAATCTTAATAGAATCTACAGGCATAGAATCTGCATGGTAAAAATCTCGAGTTAGATGAAGTAGTATAGATTTTGATGGTCATACCAGTTAATGTCTGATCTAGAAAAGAAAATCTGCGTACAAAAAGATCAGCAAAATAGATATAAGTAACTCTTGAGTACAGAAGGATCGATGAAACAGATACGAGTAAGTTCATTACATGAGGTCATATAGCAACACTAACTTGGCTTGGTAGCTAACTAGATTTGAGAGGATCTGTCTCGTATGATATCTGGCAGCAAAGCAGACAACACTAAGTAACAGATTTAGGAGGATCTACTTTGTGAGATATCTGAAGGCACAGATGACTAACTTAGTAGAAGGCCACAGTAGGAACCAGGTTTGTACGAACATCGAACAAAGGTATATGCAAGCTAGATTAGGATATAGTATAGCATAGTTGGGTACTATAGCACCTATAGATTAGGAAGTTAGAGAAGAGGTACCTGAGATGGGCCTAGACTTCAAATCTTAAAGTTTGTGAATACATATCAGCTCGGATGTCTTCCTGAAGAAGTAGTATGAGGTTAGGTGAACTTAGTAAAAAAGGATAGAATACGAGTAAATGTCATAGGGCTAGAGAGTTTAAATAGGTAATCTTCAAATAGATTTCAGATATAGCAGCTAGTATAGAACCTTCAGATGAACTACTTAAATTAGATAATCTAAAGTTGTATATGTAGCTAGTTGTACTCTCATAATATATAATCATTTACTCACTATCAATACTAATAAAAGTTCGACTGATGGCATATTGTATCAAGTAAAAAAAAAAAAAAAAAAAAAAAAAAATCATGAATATAAATAATTATTTATAAATACTTATCTTTAAATACTTATTTACAATTAATTATCTAATATCCTTCAAATCATTTCATTTGTATTAATTTAGTTTGAGTATAAAGATGATTTATTGCTAATCAGTAAAATTAAAATCATGAACATAAGGTCTAGTGATCTAATGTAGTGAATAGGTTGTCAGACCACTATGCAATAGGTTTGGAATTCAAATCCTTCTGTCGATACTTTGAATAATTACTCAAACCTTGTATCTAACTTACAGTAAACTCTGTCTGTTTCTGGGGTTATAATCCTGTAAATCACGTTGCACAATATTGTCTGGATATTAGAAGTATAACAGAATATTTGAGTTATATTACACGAATAAATTGAGATAGAATCTATGGGCAGAGGACCTGTATGATAGAAATCCTGAGTTAGATGAAATAGTACAGATTTCGACAGTCATGCTAGTTAACACTTGATCCAGCAAAGATTTCTGAGTACAAAAATATAGATCAAGTGAGTGTGAGTAAGTCCATGACATTGGATGTTACGGCAATACCAACTTGGCTTGGCAGCTAACTAGATTAGGAAGATCTTTCTTGTAAAACATTCAGAAGAATACAGAAGTCTAAACTAGTGGAGAGCCACAGCTGGAACTGGATTTGTACAAACATCGAATAAGGGTATATGCAAGCTAGAATAGGAATATAGTGTAGTATAGTCAGGTATCGTGACACTCATCTGTTAGGGAGCATTGAAGTGGGATTTATTCAGATAAGACCTGAGCCCAAAATAGTAAAGTTGCAACTAATATCAGCTTGGGTACTTTCCAATGAGAAGTAGCACGGGGTTTGGGTTAACTTTAAAGAGTAATACTTGCGGTAAGTGGAATAGGGCCTGAGAGTTTAAATAGGGAATCTTCTAAGAGATTTCAGGTATGGTAGCTAGTGTAGAACCTTTGGGCGGACTACTTAAAATAGACAACCTAAAATTGTACGTGTAGCTAGTTGTACTTTCACAATATGTATCACTTCTAGAATATATGAAATTAATAAAGTTTAGCAGATGGCATTTGTATAAAATAAAAAAAATAAAAAAAATAAAAAAAAAATATCATAGCTTTTAGCTAATTTACTAATATAAATGCTAATAATATATCTACTATATAGTTTGATAATTAGAATTTTGTTTCTAGATTATAGTTAAAATAATATTAGCAGGAAAAAAATTTTTGTAAAGATAATATACTAGCAAAGAATAACTCTTTAACTAATATTAAATATTTATCTAAACTATCTAGTTCTTTACTATCTATATCAATTTATTTTTTAATAATAAATTCAGAACAAATAGAATAGATGTTTAGATCAAAAAATAAAGTATTTTTCAAGGCAGTTAGTAATTTTAATTTAGGCTATATAATAAATTTCTGTAATTTTGTAATAGAAATTTATATTTAAAATTAGTTTCATTAAAAACTACTTTAGTATTTCGAATTAATTTTTTAATAGAAGATAAATCAAGAGTAAAGTTTTCTAAGGTTTGAGTTTTATATTGTAAAATCATAACATTAGCATAAGATTTAATAAAAACTCTTTTCTGAATATTTTTAATATATTTATAATAATAATAAATTAATTTGTCATATATTCTATATAAAGCATAAATATTAGATAATATATATAATTATTAGCTAATCCTATCAATCTTTTCAAAATAAATTTTTTATTTTTTTTAGAATCTTTCTTAATATTCTTAAACTTCATTAGAAGCTTGTTTTTGTTATGTTTATAAGAAATAGAATACTTATAATTAAGGATATATTTCTTAACTTTATCTAATTATTCTGTAGATTCTAAATATTGTTTACTTAAAAATTCTATGCCATCCAATAAATCTTTAGTTATATCTTCAGTTTTTAATAAGATCACTCTTTTAGTAAAATAGTTAGAAATGTTTTCTCTATTCTATTTATCATTAAAACAATTAGATAATAATACATTATTATCACTATATATTGTTATATAATTATATTTGAAAAAATCTCATTTAGATTTTTTATTTTAAAAGAAGTTTACCTTATACAAGTAAACTAGTTAAATAGGTAAAAGCTTCTACAAATAATGTGAGACAATAAATAGTATTATTAGATCTTAAAGTACTTTGATCTATATTTATATATATATGTCTAAATTGTTTTTAGTATACTAGAAATAAAAATTATCAAAAATATTTTAGGCAGTCTAAATTGTAAATAATTTCAAATGCTGAAAATAATTTCATATACTAAAAATAATTTTAAATGCTAAAAATATTTTTGAATACTGAAAATAAATTTAGATACTGAAAGTATTTTTATATACTGAAAATATTTTATAGTACTAAAAATATTTTTGAAGTATCAAACTATCTTTTTGCCATATTTATTAAATTGAATACACAATTATATTGTTTATATATTCCACTATATTATGAATTATCTATAGAATTGGACCAAATTTGGAGCTAAAGAAAAACTATAGAAAACTCCGAAACTAGATTAGGAAACTAGTAAAACTCCACTAAGA